ACTAGAAAATAATCTTTTAGAATAGAGATGACGATTAAATCTCGTAAAACGATGAAAGTTGGTAGCCAATCAAGCAGTATGCTTAAATTCTTGCGGTCGAGCTATCGATAATAGCCATGAAAATATTTATATAAGGAAAATCAAAGGTAAGCCACGTCACAGTTGTGGGAAAGTGACTGAAATCTAGATACCAGGTCAGGACTGATAACATTACAGACCCTATTTTGCCAAAACTCTCAAAATATATAGCAGCAGCACTAGACCAGCGATATTCAAAATTCAAACGAATGGTACATATATATATATATATATATATATATATATATATATATATATATATATATATATATATATATATATATATACATATATATATATATATATATATATATATATATATATATATATATATATATATACGTGTTTTAGTTGAGTCAGCAATTATCAATCTGCTTGTCTGAATCATCTTCAAGAAGCGAGAGCAAAATCTAAAAGGTTAGCCAATCTAACAGTGATCTCATCTCACAATCCTCACACTTGCTCCATATGCGGCATCCTTTGTAATCACTTGCGGGTCTTAAATGCCACTTAAGATTATCGCACAAAATTTCATAACTGAATCAAGTAAGCTGTCAGATCCTCATACGTCGAAACCAACGGGAGAGTGCATTATATATATATATATATATATATATATATATATATATATATATATAAAACAAAATTCCTGCTAACTCAATATATATATATATATATATATATATATATATATATATATATATATATATATATATATATGAAGAAATAGAGTTTTAAGGTGTGATATATTTATGGGATAAAGTGCTCAATATCAGAGACAGAGCATATGTAAATATAAATATAAAAAGTGGATAATGAATCAACACACAGAGGCGACAGGCTATTTCATGCTAGACGCAATCGTCAAGCCACCTGACGATTGTGTCTAGCATGAAACAGCCTAGCACTTTTGATTTCAATGTTCACTTTTATAAGCATTTCTTTGATTATAATATACACATCGTGTCTCGTGTTTGTATAATGAGATTTCCAAGAAACGAAGCGCTCGATGTTATTATCACTAAACATTGTCTCATCTTTAACTAACTATAACTGTTTCTTGTCTTCGTCCAAGTTTATTAATATTGTAGCATTAAATGTACTTCTTTCCTCCTCTTGTAATCTGCAATTTTCGGTGAGTCGTATTAAAATTCTGGTTTTATCATTTACGTTCGGTTATTTTTAATGACCTCATGTAATAAAAAATACAGCCACCTCCCCAAGCTATTCGTAACACATTTCTACAGAACGGCTATTTTAGCAACTAATTTAAGAAAAGGAGTCATATCAATTCAATCCTCGGAATAGGTAACATGAAAGAACTCGGAAGCCATTCACAAAATACTTGACAGATTTTCGTAAAAAAGAAGCTGTGCTCAACCAAGCCATGCACATTATTCTTGAAAAAAGTTACAGTTTGATATCGAAATAAATTCGTCCATTGTTTCTGATGCTGGACTCTTCCTTCGTTTACCGTCGAATGAGGGTTAAGTTACTCCGTTCTTAGAACCGACAGCCGGACTACAGGCACATATGATTCGATTATAGTAGGGAAGGCTTTGTGAAGAACCAACTACACTATTTGAAGAGACGAATACAGAGACCTGGTGCTCTACGTACCACAAGGCACCCAAACCTTCGCAGGTTTTGATTTCAGAGTTCTCTTTCTCCTAGACCAGTTGCTATCCAAGGTTATAGAACCCAGTATGCCTTGCTATTTACCCATAGCTGTGGGGGACACAAGAAGAGGAATCATACCGAACCCAAGTGAATGTCATGGATTTGACTGGAATACAAACTCGATAGCAGCTCTGCTCTTCCTTAATCCGAGCCGTTAGCCATTAATTCACTCTTCCTTTATTTCTACCGTTTCTGATATAATCTCTAAAATTGATCCTCACAATGCAGACTCAATAGTATCTCTGCAATTGTCGTAAAGAAATGTGCTCCTGGACTGACTACTGTTCTTATTAAGCCAGTTTTCTAGAATTCCTCTTCTGTTTACCCCTTTTAAAGAACTCCCGTGAACAATCGGATCTTTCGAATTGACGATCAATTAGTCTTCTACTTTTTCTTATCAGTCTTGCAGACTCTAATCAGCTCTAAACTAGTTAAGCGTCTTACATCGCAAGACCTTTCAGAAAAAAAAAAAACAGTATGGCTTTCGCTTCACTAGCTCAACTGTACTCGTGTTAACGTTATTTCTGAAAGAGTCTGTGAACTCTTTGATAAAAATGGTGATGCTTTAGATATCTAGAAGGCATTTGATAAGCTTTGGGCTTTTTTTATTGTTCTTTGCATGTTGAAAGGTTTAGTTGATTCAATTGTTCTTATCAAATCCCATAATGAATTTTGATTTGAACGACAACTCTTCTAGATATTTCTACAGTAACGCTCCCCCGACACCAGATCATTATCCTGAGAACTATTTTCTTTCTAATTTTCGTCAGTGTATTTCCCGATGTCACCATATCTCAACACTGTATCTATGCTGATGGAACAAGTAATTAAGTTACTAATGGTAGGTCCGTTACATTCAAGAAAGTCAAACTCGCATCCGATCTCAAAAAATGACATTCAATCTGTTGTTAATTAGGGTAAGAAATGACCAGTTAATTTCAACGACTCCAAAACAAAAGAAATCACCTTTACCCGTATAAGAGGACCTTTTTAGTCTTGTGTAAACATTAAATCAGTTGCTAGATCTGCTACTAGGATATTTGGTTCGTTGTGTCGTGTTCGACAATATTTTTAAAGGAATCTGTTTTGAGCCTTTATAATGTTACTATTCCCCTCCATCAAATATTCTTGCTACTTCTTTTTATTTACAGATTCCGACAGAATCCAAAGAAAAATCTGCAATTTAATCTGTCCTTGATTAGCATCTTGATTTCAGTCTCTTCCCACCGCCCTGAAGTTGTTTCACTGTATGTTTTCTTTACATATTTTCAGGGGGATTGTTCTGATGAGCTTTCCTCATTGGTACATCGGCTTAATGAAGTTAAGGGCCGTAGCAGATTTTCGTCATTTTTACTGTTGAAATTGCTAGAATGTAACTGTAAATTGTATGCTGTGTTTCTTCCGGTTTCGTGGTCTCCGGAAAACTACGATCTTGAAATATTTAATCGCAACGTAAGACGCCATCTTCTGTCTTCTTGAATACTTGTCATTTAATACCTTCTATCCCGACAAAGTTTTCTCAATTTCATTCACTCTTAGATATCCCGGCATTGTAGTTGCTTTATTGCCTTGCTTGGGGTGAAATGATAAAAATAATTTAAGAGAATCGACTGTTCAATATTCAAACGTTCAACTTGCTTGTGAAGAGTATTGATCGTGAATGTTGCATGGTAGATACAATGTTTAAGCTTTTGTAAGGCATTTGATCAACGTCAAAATCCTAATGAAAACAGGAAATACATTTAAACATATACTTACAATCAGAACGAGACAGATGGAATTCCTGGGACATGTATCGAGGAAACAACGTATAGAATAATTTAACACATGACAGAATTTTTTTAATCATTTCCCCCCAATCAAGGCGGAAATAGGTTACTGGGAGTGAAAGTGAGCGAAAAGACTTAGTATAGCGAGGATTGAGGAAAGGACCAAAGTTGAATGGCATTCAAGAAGATGGAAGATGGCGATTGACGTTGCATTTAAACATTTGAAGATTGTTGTTATCAGGGAAGCAAGTAAACAAAAGGGAGTTCCACAGGCGGAAAGTGCGAGAAAAAAAACCGTTGGAGTAGGAGCTATTTCAAGAGTAAATAGGTGGATCCTAGCTGCCAATCTAGTAGCATGCTTAAATCCTACTCGTCGGGTCACCAGGGGAAAAGCTCATCAGAGTAGTTGCGATGCGTATAAACGACAGAAGGAAGCCACGTCACATCGGTGAGAAAGTCAAAATACTAAGTCAGGATCGGTACGTTACAGATCCTTCTTTGGATTTTGTCAAGAAACTCAAGATGAATAGCAGGAGCACCAGACCAGATGTGGCAACAGTGAAAGGAACTGCACGTGTGAATGACTGTTCACTGATAAAGATGGAGAGTTAGTTATGTGCTATGCGTGATACAGGCTTAGGCGATCATGTATCGCAAGATACATGACTGACGAGGCAGATTTTTTTTTCTGCAGTAGGTTGCCATTTCTTTCTGCGTTAGACAAGTTTCCATCCAAGGCTATAGAATCCGGTCTGTCCTGCTATTTACATAGTGGTCGTGGGGTGGAGAATTCATACCTTTCCCAAGTGTATTAGCACGTAAGTGAATGCAATGTATTCGAGAGTAATTCGAACTCTGCTCTCCGATTCTTTAATCGGAGCCGTTATCCATTATTCCACGTGCCTCCAAGATCGAGGGTAAAGTACTCAAATGTAATTAGAAATTTTGTAGCGCTATGATCAATTAAATAAAGAATAAGGAAAAGGCTTATGCTTCATTCTTTCAGGCAACACATCTTTTTGTTATCGCTTACTTTATCCGAGAGGAAATCTTTTTGCTGCGCCTATTCATATATGGGTGATCATGGCTCTCTACTACTTCTAATCATGTGCAACTCTAAGCAATTTCTATCCTTTTACTATACTTCCCATTCTTTTTTTATTTATTTTTTTTTTTTTGAAAACCATTTACACAAAAGATTGATTGATGCATTTTACACGGCTTATCAACTTTTGCATATAATTTAAAGCCTGAAAATATATTTTTAGATAGTAAACATTTGGTGTGGGAAAAAATAATGATTTAGTGTTGCATTTTTTACTAATTAATCCTTATGTAGGGAGAAGAGATGGATTTTATCTTTCCCACGGTTATTAATGTGTAAGCGAATACAACGAAACCAAGTGGAATTGCAACTCGGCTTTCCGTTTAAAAAGTCCCAGCAATTATTTATTACACCACCCGCATATCCAAGCATGCAGCACCTAGCATTTCCTAGCGGTCACCCATCTAGGTACTAACCAGGTTGGACGTTGCTTAACTTCGGTGGCCGTACAGGAACCGGTACTTCAATGTGATGTGGCCATTATCATTATGATAGTTAGGTTACTCGATATTTCCCGCTTTCCTTTTTGCCTTAAAAATATCCTGCGAGTTTCAAATTCACTCAACTCTGTCTGTCTGTCTGTCTGTCTGTCTCTCTCTCTCTCTCTCTCTCTCTCTCTCTCTCTCTCTCTATCTATCTATCTATATATATATATATATATATATATATATATATATATATATATATTTAGTTGGATAGATGTGAGTTTGTGACCCTGGGTTTCACGCTTTAGCGATCGTCAGACAATCTCTAAAGCGTGAAACCCAGGGTCACAAACTCACATCTATCCAACCAAATATGTTAGCTCTATCTCTGATATTGAGCGCTTTCTAATAAGGACCGCGCATATAATATATAAATAATTATACATACTTATATTTATTTATATTTATATACACTTTTCACATATATATATATATATATATATATATATATATATATATATAAAAAAAAATACAAAAATGTTGTTTGCATAATGTAATATCCATGGTAGGAACCGAAAATTCATTTACATACAATGAAAGTCTCTGGCCATAAATAAATTCCGACTACAGACCACTTCCTCTTATAGAGATACTTTCTGCCCTCCCCTTGTCACCAAAATAAGCCCCTTATCTAAAACAATGTGTCCCTTTGAAGAAGCCTGCTATCTAAAATAAATTCAAAACCCCAATTCTAGAAAGGCATTCAAGGGTAGATGAGGATCGGCATTAAGTTGTGCCGGCCTGAAATCATGTCCACATGAGGTAATTTTGGATTTTTGCTGTAAACATATATATTCTCTGTTACAATAAATACTCTGAGCTCTCTGTGGATCAGATTTAATAAGTGATATTACTAGAATCCACCTGGATTACATACCAAAGAACTATTTTATTACCTGTATTATATATATATATATATATATATATATATATATAGTGTAACCCGGATATAAGAGACCCGGATATAAGAGAGATTTTCTCTGGTCCCAAATTAGGGCCTGTGTTAATGTATATAAAATAGACCAAACCCAGATATAAGAGAAACCCGGATATAAGAGACTTCTTCTCCGGTCCACTCTCTTATATCCGGTTACACTAATATATATATATATATATATATATATATTCACTCTACGGTTGGTTATATCGAGCTCTTTTTAATTAGTTGTTTACTCGTGTCGGGATTTTTTTTCCTTTGGGCTTTAAACCTGCTTCTATGCGATTTTCTCGACAGATTTTCATGTCCCTGCCCTTTTCTTTTTTTAAAACCTTTTTTTTTTTTTCGAGATTGATTTGATTATTGGCAAATCAAAAATTCGAAGGTTTTTTTCGAGACGAGTATAGTTACCTATATATATATATATATATATATATATATATATATATATATATATATATATATATATATCCTTTTCTTTCTTTCTTAAAACTTCATGTTCAAGCTTTGGTTTTCTCAGCATCTTTCTGCTACATGACTTGTTGCCACAATTCTCCGCTTCCCGTCCGTGTAAATCATTTTTTTTAAACGAAATTTTCTAAATATTTTAACTTTTAGAAGGTATCTTTCAATATTCTAGTGCGCGGTCAGATTTCTTTGTCTTCTATTAAAAAATCTGATGTAAATTGATGTAAATGAGAATATCAAAATATTTTCTCAACATGCTTGCGTGTATTTATCTTAAATTATCAGTTAAAAGAAAGGAAATATTTTCCAAAATACTCTGAGAGGGTTAACTAATAGGAATGGCATAACATTAATTTGGCATGAACCTGACGGCAATCGAATCACGTCTTTTCCTTGCCAGTAACCATTTTTTGGTTCTAAATTTGAATATTCCAATCTGAGATGCGAAATACTAATCGCCTATTAATATGGGGTGCGTTTGTCCAACGCCCTAAAATCCACGAAAAAATTTCTTGTTCCGTGTTTTTGTAATAATCTGATTGTTCGTTTATTATTTTAGTTTAGCAACGTATGGAACTCTATGTATTATTTAATAAAGTAATCTAAATATTTTGTACGTAATTTTATTTTATTTTTTGAGATAAGAATGGTTTTCGTGCTATAAGTCATACTAATTAACCCACAGATGGGAGGGATCCATGCATTTCCTAAGCGTATTTGAGCGTAAGGGAATATAAGGAACACAACTGGAGTTGGATTTCGGTTATCCACTTAACAAATCAGAGTCATTATTTATTACACCACCCGCACATCCAACCTTACAGAACCTGTTATTTAAAAGCGGTCACCCATCTAGATACTAACCATGGTCGACGTTCACTTAGCTGATCGTATGGGAATAGGTGTTTCAAAGTGATGTGGCTATGTTATCATCATGCCCTACACAATCCATGACCTTACTGTAACCCCTTCATCTAACATTTAATCTTGACATTCATGTACAATTTTTTCGTTAGGGAAAAATGTTTAATATAAGAGGTTTATAGACGCACGGCCGGTGTTGCTACGCATTTTCACTGTATATTTCTGAAGTTAGCATTCGCGCTAGAGAATAGGGTCCTTATTTCGTTTCAGTAAATTATCTATTTCTATTGTATATTTATAAAGCATCTTATCTGTTCTAGCTAATCATTCATGATGTGGTGTTTGTTTTGTCTCAGATGGAAACCTTTCGTGTTTACTGTTTACCTGTTTGAGTCGAGCTTTCAGATAATCTCGTCTTAAAACGGTGGCATGATTTTTTACTATTCACAGCCAATATACTATGCATGTCTTTCCTGCTTTTTACTATTGAACTTTCTCATGAAATGTCACACTAGTTGCTTACGAATTCTGTTTTTCACTGTTCTATTACTCACTTTATCTGAAGAACTATTTCTGGTCATAAACTGAAGCGTGGATAGGGACCTCAATATTACTGTTTAGGTTATCCCAGCTCGGAAGGATGGAGAGTTATCCATTTCTAAAGCCCAATAATTTTCATTAATTCTCGAAGTTCACAAGTCAAAATACAGAGGGCTCAAAAATTTGACTTCATTTAAAATCAGAATAATTGGGTGTGGTATGACTAACTTTGTGGTCCCATGCAATATTCCATGTTGATTCAAAGTCGAATAAATTGGAGTAAGAAGACGAACGCGAGTGTAACTTATTTGAAAATCTATTCACTCGCAGTTGAACTTATTTAAATACAGAATACGTATAAGGGGCGATAATCCGTACCACACTGTGAAATTACTTGTCCCAGATAAACGAAATTAAGTAGGCTTCATGTTGAACAATAAAATGTTTATTTATCAAAATTCGAACAAATTACTCAAAGGGATTTTATAACCGATTTCACAAAGCTTCACAAATCTTGAATACGATCACCACCTGTGATAGAGCATATGTCAAGTCGATAATCCAGCTCCTGTCAAACACGCTGGAGCATGTTTTCCGTAACATTTTCTAGCGACTTAGTGATTCTCTAATTAAGTTCCTCTAGGCTTGTAGGAAAAGTTGGGAGATAGATCTGTCTTTTCAAATAGCCCCAAGAAAAATCTCACAAAGTGTCAAGTCAGGTGATAGTCGTTGGTCATTTCAACAGCACATTGTTATTATAAGTGGCACGCCTGATCAATCTTTCTGATAGATTCTCGCTGAGATAAATCTGCCCAGTCAACTTAGTTTTTACACATCTTGTTAAAACTTGAGATCATTTGAACAAGAACTGGCTATGCTATTAGAATAAAAAGATGCCTTTTTTTGGTTGGGGGAGGGGTGCCTGTGTCCGCGCTCTGTTGTCTTGTAACATGTAAGATGATATTTCTTTATATTTTGTATTAAATAAATACGTTCGACATAACATAACTGCCTTTTTTATCCTCTAGCAGATTAGTTCGTCTATGGACATCAGTTACACGCTCAGAGTTCAGTCCGAAGTCGGGTGACCGGCTGACTGGCTGATCATTTGAACTCTCTGCCTTTGGGCGGGGACGAAACCCGAACGTAGCTACGCCGAAGGGCGGAGTCTCTTTCGGAGAGGTAAACCGACCCTGAACCCGTTTATGCGGGTTCAAAGAGCATATTTTTGGCCGATCCCACGGGCTCGGAGATCCCACGTTAAACCGGCCTTGTGCCACATGAGGCCCTCGTGGGGGAGGGGGGGTGACTAAATACCGTTACCCGCTCATAAGCTTATTTTTAACTTATTCAATGGTTCGAGAGGCAGAAAGTTAGAGCTTGCTGTTAAAATAATTATTATAAAGGCAGTGTGTGATATGCAGAAAAGAGATAGCTAAGCAGGATAGATTGATCCTGAACTTGAAGAGGTTAAAGTTGGGATATTTAGGGAAGCAAACACAACGAGCAGTTCTTGGGGAAAAAACAACTTGTGACTGGAATTACATATTTGGAATACGGACGACATGAGGGTGATTCGAGTTCGTGGAAATAGTATGTCGGGTTTTAGCTCTAAAAGTATGAACGTATTGAACTAAAGAATGGGGCACGTCTCAATTTTTGACACGGAAATTGCGATAGACCATCAATAGTCTCCTCTAATTCCTTGGGTAACTGCTGTAGCATACCTAAGAACGATAATGTGTATGTCCCCATGCACATAAATACAGTAGTAAATACTGTATGTTTGTCTGCGTTTGGAGATTCGTCTCCGGCTGTGCTGGTCAAACTCTCTGTCTCCGAGGCTATGTCGAAGGGGAGAGTCTCATCTCGGAAAATAGTTACCCGATCCTCTTTCAAACGGGCTCTACGGGGAAATTTTGGCTGAGCGTACGGCCTCGGATACCCCAGATTAAATTCGGCCTTGTGCCACATCTGAATAACTTGTGCCACATCTGACCGCGTGGGGCGGTTGGTAGATATCCTTCAGTTGGAGATTCATTGTGGAATTCACTTGACTCACTTCTAGCAGTTGACCAATTCTGCTACGCGCCGCTGGCGAATCTTATATGTGTTGTTCTTGTCCTAAGTATTATCGTTCATTACCAACATTCGTTTGATTATTCTATTCAGTAACCTTCCCTCGGTTACAGCAGATGAGTTCCATCTGTGCAATGGATAATGAAAGAGCCTTTGAGGATCCAGATTTTGATTGAGTTTGTCGTGTTAATAGTATCGATTGTTTACCTGCTTTCAGTGTGTCCATTATAAACGTACGTTCTCCATCTTCAGACACTTGTTTTACACAGGTCCTTCTTACTTTGCTTTCGCCTCGACACATTGACGGCAGACAATATCGCATGGCCGCTTGCCTATTTTATTGGTCTTGCTACCTTGATGTTGTTAGCCCTTACATTGTGCCTACCTGAAATGCATTCTTTGATCAGGAAAAAGTTTGCTTTTAAACCTTTCAACCTAAGCAAGGCAATATAGCCACTAAGTAGCAAAGGAAAACTGAGTGTTAGAGAATATGAGAAAAACACTTAAGGATAGATAACAATAAAACTATTAGAATTACGAACACAGAGGATAACGATTGACATTGCATTTAAATTTTTGAAGTTGAATGGAAATCAAGATGCCGGAAGAAAATCAAATCAGACAGAAGGGCGATAGATGAAACTGCTAGCATAGAACTTTTATGTGCCATGCCTGATACACGCTTAGACTGACGAAGCAATTTTTTTCCCGCAATATTTTGCTATTTCCTTCTGCGGTAGACCAGTTGCCATCAAAGGCTATAGAACCCGGCCTGTCTTGCTAATTACCCATAGAAGAGGATTTATACCTTTCCCAAGGGCATTAGCACGTAAGTGAATCTAATGGATTCGACTGGAATTCGAACTCGGCTCTCGGATTCCTCAAACCGAGCCGCTATCTATTACTGCGCTGTATATTGCCAGTTCAACTTTAAAATGATCAGATTTTTCGCCTATCTAGTACTAAGCCTAATTTCATGAAGTCTAGGTACTGTACAGCAAAGTTGACCGGAACAATTATCATATAAGTATTTACGTCCACCGCAAGGAAAGTTGGCTCCCTGTACCGCTCCAGATCTACAAATCAACAATTCGCCCTTGCATGGAGTATTGCTGCCATATATGGTCTGGAGCCCCTTCTGTTTGCCTCGGGGTTCTTGATAGGCTCCAGAGGCGGATATGCAATATAATTGGCCCTGTTCTGGCATCTCATCTACAATCACTTTCTCACAGACGCGCCGTCGCCTCTCTCTGTCTGTTTTACAAATACTTTCATGGCAATTGCTCCGAGGAGCTGCATTCGCTGGTTCTCAGACGTCATGAGTTCCAGCGCCCTACGAGGCTGGCGTCTCGCTCTCACCCCTTCACTGTCGAAACTCCTAAATGTAGCCATCTCTTCTACTCTAATAGCTTCAAGTCTCGCACCACTCGCCTGTGGAACTTCTTTCCCTATTCCAGTTTCCCTGAGAGCTATAATCTCCAGTTATTCAAGTGTAATGTCAATCGACATCTCCAGTTGCCTTGATCTATCCACTACCCTTCTCTTCATACTCTCTTCTACCACTCCTATCTGATCACGCTCTATATTTTCTGTAACCCCTTGCGTCCTAGTGGTTTCCTGCCTTGCTTGGGGTGAAATGCTTAAAAAAAAATAAATAAAAAAAGATCCAGGAAAGTTACTGTTACGAGCTAACAAATAAACAATCCCTATGGATTGTTATTTTTTATCGTCTGCTCCCTTTATCTGGATTGACATCTTTCAATAAGCATATATATGCACTTAAGCTGGAAGCCTAACCTATCTACGCTATTACATATTCTCAGTTATTTCTTTCTGATCAGTTGATTCTAATGTTACTAGTGTGGAGTACTGAGTAATGGCGACTCGATACTCGAGTCTCTTATATTTATTTGATTCCCGACATTTTGACTGTGAACAGCCTCAAACCACTCACCCAAAACGTGGGCCTGACATTCTAGTCTCCGATTTCAAAGAGATACTGCTCTTTTTACCACTAAAGCGGGTCTTTATATAACTATCTTTGTCAAACGACCCTATCTCATACGTTGCATCCTAATAGCAGCTGGGCAATTCATGTGGACTATTTGTCGGATCAACCTTTCATCTGGTTTCTTTTAAAGTAACTGAACGTAGTCTATTTTAGGGTGAGACACATATTGCAGAAATAACCGTATTGGCAGATTAAGCTCTGCAACAAGTTTCTAAATATTTGTTGGTTTGAATAAACAAGAAGAGACGCTACAAAGCATAAAAATGATTAATTTTCCCAGTCGTGGCATCGATTTTATGTAGATACACGTACCGTTATTTTGTGTGATGAGGTCGTCTGGACAAGAAAATAAGGCAAGCTCAACCTTATTTGCTGATGCTACATTGTTAACGTATCTAGTGTTCATTATTTCTGTATTTTCTCGAAATATGTATGACGAGCAGCATGGCCCGGCGTTGCCCGTGCTTGATTCAAAAATCGTACGACTCATACAGCAATCGCTATCACTTGACTTAAAATATTTTTACCCTTCCTTGCCTTTGAAGGAGTGCCCTTTGCCGTGCTGATGTTGCTACATGTCTTACTTCTTGCGTATCTCACACTGCGAATTTTTTCTAAGCTCTATACTAAACATTAAATCTGTTACGAAAAAAGAACTAAACAAAATGAACACAAAACGATCAGCTTTAGGACTCGTAACTAGAAAAACCGAATGAAAAAAGAATGTTAACAACAAATAATTTTCACACCCAATCCAGTTCTGCAGAATCAGAATCAACGTTGAGTTTAAGCAAGCGAATGAGCCAACTGGAGTAAAGTGGCACGCGGATCTAAATTTTTCCCACTTGTGACGAATGCAGGTATCGATTTTTTTTTTGCATGCTAGTTAACATTCGTGTCAGTCAGCTGTTGGTTCTCATGCTAGCCAATAGAATCTTCCTGCCTATTCGTGGCAGCCAGTAGAAAATGGCCGCAAACTACATGAAAACTGCCGTGGAAGCATGAAACAATCGATTATTTCCACTATCGATGGGAGTTGAGAAATGCAAAGTCGGTCTTGGCATTGCCGCTAACTTGGAGCATCTGAATGTAAATTTTGGTGCAAATCCGTCGAAAATTGCGGTCGTGCATTCGTTACATACACACACACACACATACACACACACATACGCACACACACATCCTGCCTTTTATAGACAGAGATTATAGGCACACATAGCGATTTTATAACCTTCAGATGATCAGCGTTTGTGTATGAGCATGTACCGTCCTTGTTTCGTGTTCATCTCGATACAGAATGAAGGTTCTCGAAAATTTAAATGTTTTACGCGCATCTTAGCACGGTGATTTTGTTTTTATATATTTGGTTTTATTGCACAGTTTGGCTCTGGAAAGCGGATAAGCGTAAATTGTTTGGGGAAATATATCACCTGACTGGACTTAGCAGAAGTGTCCAAACGAATATTACTTGGGCACTTCTGGTTTTACAGCTTGGATAGCGAGGCCGGATTTGTCTCTCAGCAATTATGCTAACTGATATGGCAGGAAGGATCATTTCATATCGGCGGCTTTGCTATTCTTCAGGACCTCTTCTGTCGCTCAACACGCTGTCTGTCAATGACTTTATTCCTGGATCTTGGCTTAAATGGGTCTCTACTTCAACCCTGTGGGATGCAATAAGTAATTTATGTGTTGGCAGTTGTCACAGCATGTTATGCTTGGATCTACATCATGGTCGTGGGGAGGGAACTAAAATAGAAATTGTCCAGACAGCTGTAGGTATTGTTATTTACACTCCCGATACTGTGGTCGTTGTCGTCGTCGGGATCCGCTCGCATCTGAACACCGGAAACGTCGTTTCTCTTCCTTTTCTCTCCCCGGTTGTCGGTGGCGGAGATGCCTGTGTATCAAAGTGAGTTTCACGAGGCCATTCGTGTGAATTTGATTTTGGCGAACAACTCTGTGCTGTGGACGTAATTATACGTCGTACTATATTCATATATGTGCTGCCGACATATATGTTATTTTACAAGATATGTGAAACTGTTCGTCCCTTCTCTGTGTTATCTATCGCATTTCTGAATTACAGTATATATATCAAGAAACGTAGGATATTATCTTTTTATGCCTTATCTTTGTGCGCGCATGTGTTTGTGTGTGTGTATGTGCGTGTGTGTGAGTGTGTGTGTCTGTCTGTATGTCTGTAGGGGTGTTGTTTAGCGTTGTTTGTCAAAGCCATCAAAAAGAAAACAAAAAGAACCCGGCGCCAATGAGTAATTGCCATCAGATTCATTATAATCATATATTTCCAATAATCTCCATATATTTCTTATATTATCTCACAGTCAGTAACCCCTTGCATCCTAGCGGCTTTGTTACCTTGCTTTGAGGTGAAATGATTAAATAAAAATTCAGATTTCTAATTTTCCCAGCAGGCCAGCACAGCCAGAATAAAATGTTATACAGTGTAACCCGGATATAAGAGAGTTGTCGGGACCGGAGAAGAAGTCTCTTTTATCCTGGTTTCTCTTATATCCGGGTTTGGTCTATTTTATATACATTAACACAGGCTCTAATTTGGGACCAGAGAAAATCTCTCTTATATCCGGGTTTCTCTTATATCCGGGTTACACTGTAACATTGCAGCAGTGAAAACGTTACTGTATATCCTCGCGCAATTCGCGATGTTTATTTTAAATACGGTTGTATATTTTAACTACACTAAATGGATATATATTATGGTCAACGGCGTAGCCAGGCACAGCAGTACATACGGTAATTTTATATCTCGTGTATGATGTGACCCCCTTAAAATTAGCTGCAAAATTAGGTCTTCAAAAGTCGCATGATACGCGAGTATATACGGTAATTGCTAAAGCAGAATATCTGATAAAAATCTAATATCTACTTCATCATTATACTACACACACACTGTATATAAGTCATCATTTACGCAGTATGATAGAGGATGACTTTTTTCCACACTACAGCCACTTTCCCACAGACTCGACATTGCAATCCTATCACTATTTTCATGGCAAATGTCCAGATGAACTCGATTCTTAAGCCCATACCCCCGCTCACTCACCACTAGTTTAGGCCTTTATAGCTAGAAAAGGTCATGTTCATTACTCGGAATCAAATCACCTTTATTCCCCTTGTGTTCCAAATGCAAGAAGAAAGTTCGACTCAAAGAGAAATTTTCCAGGAGTCGTCACCTTGGGGAATAGATTCGCACATGGAAGCTTCCCTAAATACTTCAATCTTCTTTAGGTCAACAGCCAATCGTTATTTACTATAATCGCCACTACCTGCAAACACTGCATACATTGCATCTGCCATTATTGTTTTAACAGTGACACTCTACGTTGAGCGTCTCATGAGTCTCGTGTTGATGAATTCTCGTATAAAAAAGATAAAAACAGTAAATCTGTCTCAACTTGCCAACCAATGAATTCAGTCAGTTATGTGCCATACGTAAAACACGCTTAGGCGATCATGTATCTTTCTATATATGACTAACTAGGCAGATTTTTTTTTCCGGCAGTAGTTAGCCATTTTTTCTGCGATAGGCCAGTTGCCATTCAAGGCTATAGAACCCATTCTGTCCTGCTATTTACCCATAGCTGGCTTGGGGAAGAGAGGACTCATACCTTTCCCAAAGGTATTATCTCGTAAATGAATGTAATGGATTCGAATGGAATTCGAACTCCGCTCACCGATTCCTCAATCCGTGTTGGAGAACCGGATTGATGAATTAGGGGCTTCAAAGAAAATTTTTGAGCAGCCTGGAAGTCGCGAATCCTTATTTCTTGCAGAATGATAAAATATTACTTTAATAGCGTTATGAAATACTTCTCCAATTCCTTCTCTGTTTATCTGTGAAATGGCTTTTAATATAACTGCCTGTCACTTCCTCCTCCCGTTTCTTTTTGTGAGCTTATATGTTAATCGCGTTAGACAGTATCTTAACTTCGATTTCTATTGCTTCCTGTATTTATGCATTAGATGGTCTACTGCCATTACTATGTTGTTAAATATATTTGAAAGATGCGGATTTTTTTTTTACTAATGTCCACTCAATACAAGGCCAAATAGTCACTTGGATGTGAAAGAACAAGCGTTAGGTGTATAATGATGAAGTAGACTTTTAAAAGAACCTGAAAAACAATCCTAAATATCAAACAAGAAGTAAACTTCTATTTCTGTCCAAAAGACCGGGAAAGAGTGTGAACTGAAGACGCCAATCATTATTTGCAATATTTACCCTGGAATTGTTACCATTGTCTCTGTTTTTACCATCACAACGTTTCGGCAGTAGTGCTCTCCGGCTTCATCAGGTACTGATCGATCAGGGTAGCCTTCAAGTGATTTCGAATATAAAATCTTATTAAATCTATGGAGGTAGATTGTTCTCGTTCCGCTGGTCATATTTTGGGACATTTAATACAACTCATTTGCTGGATTCGTGTAGTTCCTATGTATTTCTTATTTATTGATTTAACAATGTTCGTATTTATTACTTTAATCGAATTATTCTTCATTGCTTTCATCGACTTCGTATTTATTGCTTTCATGTTATTCGTATATATTGCTTTCATATAATTCGTATTTATTTATTCAATGTTATTGCTATGTATTGCTTTCATATAATTCGTATTTATTGCTTTCTTCATATTCGTATTTATTACTTTCGTCTAGCTTGTATTTATTGTTTTCATCTAGTTCGTATTTATTGCTTTCAATCTTATTCGTATTTATTGCTTTCGTCTAGTTTATATTATTGCTTTCATTTTATTCGTATTCATTGCTTTCATTTTATTCGTATTCATTGCTTTCGTCTAGTTCGTATCTATTGCTTTTAGCTTATTCGTATTTATTGCTTTCAGCTTATTCGTATTTATTGCTTTCATCTAGTTCGTATTTATTGCTTTCATATAGTTCGTATTTATTGCTTTCATATAGTTCGTATTTATTGCTTTCGTGTTATTCGTATTTGTTGCTTTCAGTTTATTCGCATTTATTTCGTTCGTCTAATTCATATTTATTGCGTTCATCCAATTCATATTTATTGCTTTGGTCTAGTTCGCATTTATTGCTTTAACCTAGTTCGTATTTATTGCTTTCATCTAATCCATGCATATTAATTTCATCTATTTCATATTTATATCTTTCATCTAATTTAGATTTATTGCTTTCAGCTTATTCGTATTTATTGCTTTCGTCTAGTTCATATTTATTGCTCGCAAGCAATTCATATTCATTGCTTAAATCGTGTTCGTTCTTATTGCTTTAACTGTGTTTCTGTAATCTATTTCTAATTGATTTATATCCTTCAACCTGGTTTTAATTAGTTATTTAATCCGTCTTTCTTGTTGCTTTAATCTTCTCGCTATTTCGCTGCTTTAATCTCGTCACCCTCTATGACTGCTTTAATCCACTATCCACTTCCTGTCTGCTAAGACGATAGTTATTTTGTCTTCATTGCTGGAATGAGAAGTGTAGATATAAACTTAGTGAAACAGGGTAAGCACTCTCTTAGCGAATGATTTAATGCCGGAACAATGAATAAAACTATTTCGATAGAAATATTTATTTTTAAGATGCTAATGAGTTAAATACAAAAAAATGGCATTTTTAAAGGCATCACATACACAGACTTTTGAGAAAGCATCATACGCTCAGCACATACAGACAGGCACACAAAACACACACACACACACACACACACACACACACACACATATATATATATATATATATATATATATATATATATATATATATATATATATATATATATGTATATAACCTTATTGAATTTTTTCATTAATTTCCATTCTCCAGATTTGTGTTGAAAACGACGCATGTTCACAGTCATATGAATAAAGCACAATTACTGTTAGCAAATTCTTTTGAGTAGGTACAATATTTCCAGAATTAATTTTATCTATCTATCTATCTATCTATCTATCTATCTATCTATCTATCTATCTATCTGAGTCTTTCATTTCTATCTATCTATCTATCTATCTATCTATCTATCTATCTATCTATCTATCTATCTATCTATCCCAATCTATTGTTTATTTATTTATCTCAGTCTGTTTATTATCTATCTATCTATTTATCTCAGTCCAGTTGTCCTTTCTCCTCTCTCTCTTTCTCTCTCTCTCTCTCTCTCTATCTATCTATCTATCTATCTATATATATATATATATATATATATATATTAATCAATCGAAATACGTCAATTTCAGAAAACTTCAGTATATGTTTTATTCATTAAGGACTTATTCCGAAAAAAAAAAAAAAAAGATTTATTTTTGCTTCATCTAATAACGTATATTTCTTGTATGTTCAGCTATTCATAGCAATATGAAATCAATATATATATATATATATATATATATATATATATATATATATATATATATATATATATATATATATATTATAGTATGTGGAACTGTCCAGATACTTGATCTGATTTAGAATAATGCATTTGTATATGCCCATCGAACAGGCCTTACTGTTATTGGCGCCGACAGTGGATGTGGCTGGCTAAGTCCAAATTCCAGTTTGGAAAGTTGTGTTCATTTCAGCATAATGCACTTGGGACAGACGCAGATCTGCTTCTCCTCCACCAGCTATGGGTTTAATGTGAGTTGGCCAACAAGTAATGCCTGTTCTAATTTAATTTTTGAGGTAATAGTCAGAATTTCTAGCGTGTTGCCTTATTCGGATAACCCAAAAAACCGTAAATTGTCTAAAGACCCAGTGGAAATGTTTGTGAAATTACCTACTTTTTTTTTTCCGACCAATAATCCTCTTTCAAAATTACTGCTCCTTTGGACATTCATAAAAGTAATGAGCACTCATAATTTTCTATTTTTGAAAGGGGGAAATTCTACAAAGATTACCTACTGGAAATTATTGCGAGAGCTTTAGTGTTAGCGATGACAGTAGCTGATCTTTTGTGCTGGTTAGTGACTAGTCAAGGACCTGTGATCAATGTCTGTTCCCAGAATGCTAAAAAAAAAAAAATCCATGAACCAATGTGGTAGATGTTTCTGCCCATGATCTTCAGAAATTGCTCAACTCAGATAGCATAGGCTTTTCATGTATCAAGCGTTCAGACGATAACAATTCTCCAATGATGGTTGAGTGAAAGTGGCATCTCGCACAGGTTTAAGATGTCGAAAAATAAGCTGATATGAGACAGTTATACACGCAAACATTTAAGGTGAAATGCAATAATTGAAAAGGAAGGAGATCTGGTGTATTCTCTTTGGAATATGAATATTTTGGGCTAACCTTTTACTTTTATGTTCTGCTATTAATGAACCTATTGTAATTAAAGAATAGAGGCAATTTATATTGCCGGACCTTAAGATAAGAGCAGATAAGGTTCTTCAATTAGCCTCTTTCTTCTCAGTTCAAAACAACTATCAACCATTTACATGCCAGACTAGCATGACAAGACCATTCGAAGACTATATACGACATATTTGCAAAAGTCGATGGGTCCTATTGGTCATAAATAGTGTAACAGTGTCCACCCTCAAAAATATTCAATATCTAAAAAAGAACTAAATTAATTAACATGTTTACTGCTTTTTAGATAAGACGTTTACGTATTTTGACACAATTTGTCGTCAGAATACATGAGATATTCAGCTACAAAGATAACACGTTAAAATTGTTTTGTGTCAACCCTACTGTCTTCCCAAATAAGCAATGATGAGAGTAAAAACAAACCTTGAAGCCTTCAGTAATGGGAACAATATTCATACTCTGGCTTCCATTTTCAAAGTCCTTTCAAGAACCATCAAGAAATCGGTGAATAATTTTTAAAAAAGGGGAAGAGTAGAAAGTAAAACTAATTCAGAAAGTCACAACAAGAAGAGGGATCATTATTTCACTTTAGAGATAAAGAGATGAATTAGAAAAATATCCAAATCAATTCATAAGCTGTATTGGATGTGAGAGAAGAGTTTCAGCTATTACAGTCCAATGAGCAGTGTAAAAAAAAATACTTGAAAATTAAAATCGTACGTGAAACGTGTGAGACGAATTGATACTCCAGGACAGGAAGTTAGAAAGTTAGAGAGGGCGAAGATCATTTTGCATACGTTAATTATAAGCAATATGAATCTTCACGTAGGAACATTATAATGTAATATTTTTATATTACATTATAATGTTCCAGTAGACAAAAACAAAAAAAATTAAATTAATTATCTACTATAAAAATTTGCTAAACTCTTTATCAAAATAATAATTCGTATGCAGAACACAAATTACAGAGAACCAATATTATTTAAGAATTCACGGGTCCCTTAACGATTTGTCTTCCTAATCAATCGAAATTCATAAATAATTATGTTAGATATGCTACAAAATGCATGAGAGGAGGACTCGTTACATCTCTCTGACCATAGCTCAATTTGGTCTCTTTTAAATACCCAGGGAAATGAACTAGACACTGTCACAACACAACCGTTGATAATACACATATACTAGTCTGATCCACATATAAAAAATGCTAAAAATAAGAGATGCATTATTAATCTTTTAGAAAAAGCTAACGCTCAATAATATTAACTCTGCAAACGGCAACAATGTTATGAATGTGTTAGTAAAATGAAACATTACTATAATTCTAGATACATACATAAAACAATCAGTATATTCAGTTACAAGTAAAAATTAAATTCATCTTTGATAATAGCTAAAAGTATAGCCGAAAGAGCTCGGACATACAATATATATATATATATATATATATATATATATATATATATATATATATATATATATATATGAAGAAAATATCTGGAAAAACAAACAAAATCCTTAGAATGTGATTATGTTGTTTTAATTATGAATGAAATGTCGACGTCTGACGTTTCGGTTTAATAACCTTCTTCAGGACAATATTCATTAAAAATACAATACAATTAACATAATCAGTATAAATCGACGAAAACGATGGACATAAAAAACAAGTCTTATCCAAAACAGATGATAGAAAATTTTGAATGATTAGCTTTCCGTTTGAGCGTGGTCACGTTGTCGTCAAATGGGCGACGCTTTAAAAACGTATTCTTAAAATTTTATAAAATTTGATTCCGATGGAAAGCAGTTCGTTGTAGTAATAAGCGGAGACTAGTAAATTCTTGTATCTTCGGATAAGCATGCAGTCCTCCATATAATAAAATGAATTCAGGTTTGTATTTCCAGTGGACAGTATGTTAGCAAATTAAATGATATAAATCCGACAGAATGAAGCAAAAAACAAAACAAAATATCCATTTATATTTGCTAACATACTATCCAATGTACAAACCTGAATTCATTTTTGTATTTCCAAATTCGAAGATACAAGAATTTATAGTCCATCCGCTTATTAACAATTTTAATCGGAATCAAATTAATTCCATTTGAAAACGTGACCACGCTCAAAAAAGCAATCATTCAAAATATTCTATCATCTGTTTTGGATAAGACTTGTTTTTATGTCCATCGTTTTCGTCGATTTATACTGATTATGTTAATTGTATTGTATTTTATATGAATATTGTTTTAGAAGGTTATTAAACCGAAAACGTCAGACGTCGACATTTCATTCGTAATAAAACAACATAATCAATTCTAAGGATTTTTGTTTGTTTTTCCAGATATTTTCTTCATTCTGTCGGATTTATATCCATTTATATTTGAATATATATATATATATATATATATATATATATATATATATATATATATAATTTTTAAACAACTGATTCTCCTGTCGGTTCGACGTATGAAGATCAAGCATGGAAACCGACAGCCCGGCAACAGCACATGATTATTATAGTGGTGAAGGTTTCGTGCAGGACAATCCACACTTTTGAAGGGGTTGAATACAGAGACCTGGTGCACTGAATGCCATTTGTCTCCAAACAACCCCTCAGGTTTTGAATTCAGAGTTGTCTTTCTCCTAGACCAGTTGCCAACCCAGTCTGTTCTGCTATTTAACCCATAGCTGGAGGGAGAAGAAGAGGATTCACACCTTCCCAAGGGTATTAGCACGTAAGTGTATGTAATGGATTCAACCTGGATTCGAACTCGGCTCTGCAATTCCACAATCCAAGCCGATATCCATTACCCCCTATTTTAAACAATATATATATATATATATATATATATATATATATATATATATATATATGTGTGTGTGTGTGTGTGTGTGTGTGTGTGTGTGTGTGTGTGTGTGTGTGTGTGTGTGTGTGTATATTGTTTAAAATATATAATTGTTGAGGAAGCATGATCAGAATCTGTTGTCGTACATTGGTGAATATAGAAAGTATGGACAAAGGAACTAATAGGACATGGTAACTGAGTTTTATATCTGAGGATCGTATTGATAGTCATGATGCATCATTGATTCCTATGCATAGTCGGTTCTCTATATATCCGTTATATGTATATATATATATATTTATATATATATATATTTTATATATATATATATATATATATATATATATATATATATATATATATATATATATATATATAATTTTTGCACAACAGAATTTTATATAAATTCTGTGATACAAAATATATATATTATATGTATTTGTTATGACGTCGCTCATTAGATGTGACTGCTTGAATATATATTCTTTTCAAATTTTATCTACTCTACTTTTTCAAGAAGTTGAATTTCTAAGATTCTGGCTTTATAAACGTCTTCATGTAGAGTTCTATTGTTATAGCAAATGCACTTTCATCTGTCATCTCTCGTACAAACTGTCGAGTGCAACAAAAATACAGACAATTCAGGAAAAAAAAAAGACTACACTGGGTATATTTTATACATGGAATCTTTCGGCAGCAAGAATTGATTCAAACATATTACTGTAGAATTTAACGGACAAATAATTTTCAAATTTTCGAATTTGATTTTGTACTTCAGGAACATTTGTGAATAAGCAGTCGGAGAAAGCAAATATGAAGTTTGGACTGTTTTGATCTCGAGGCGGAAAATGAAAAAAATAACTGACAGACATTGTAGTTTGAATGTAAAATAGCTACTGGTTATGAATAGGGCAATCCCTTCATATTAATTAACGTTGTTAATCATTATTTCCTCCCTATACACAATCTATGTTTCGAGCATGTTAGTTTACTGTGTTTCCCATCAAGCCTTTTTTTCTTTTTTCAGTATTGTCGTTTTTAATCGAAACTTCATCTGGATAATAGTTTTAATTTTTGGCAAGCTGTCCCTTGATTCCATCTACGGTTTTAGATTTTATTTTATTATATATATATATATATATATATAT